TATCGTTTCCTCGGGCATTTATATGAAATAGATGATAATTAATGTTAGATTAGAGAAATCTACGGTGACCCTATCATTTTCATATCATTTAACATATTTAAAGCGGAAACAATTACAATAATAACAACAAATCATTTTGATGCTAAATTATGCATGTTATGCATGTGGACGGAATTAAAAAAAAAGTGTAATTTAAACTACAAACTTGTGTACTAGCTTTCTCCGCCTTTTATGTACCTTTTAATAAATATAGTAATATCTTACAGATCTATCTCACAAACTGTTAATTCATTGTATCTTTGGAAGTAAAATTTCTACCAATATCATTGTTTACGATCTTCAAATGCAGTTCAACGAGTTTAAAATGCAAAAACTCTGTTTGTCAAAATCCGAAATACCCCCAAATTACGTATACTAATCCTAAAATGAGTCAATATGGTAGTAGATAGCATAAATGAAACGTTTTTCATTGTTGTATTTTTTAACGAATATGTAACCTTAGCTGTATTTGGCAAAACCTTTTTTTTTGTCCTCAATGCTCTTCAACTTCGTACTGGATTTGGACTTTTAACCTTTTTAGATTCGAGCGTCACTGAAGAGTCTTTTGTTAACCAAATGAGCGTATGGCGTACAAAATTTTAAGCCCGGTATCTTTGATGTGTTGTGCCTCACACCACTTATACGCATTATTTATCCCCAGTATTATGCTTGACGACTGAAAATACAGTATGAAAAAGTTATCATAGCATTTAAATAAATAAATATACAATTATAAAATACATGCTTAATGTACTAACCTTACATCTTCTTTCGCAAAGATAAGCAGTATCAATAATGTAGTACACCTATAAAAGGTGCGGCAGGTATGAAGGAATCTATTTTGTATGTTGACCTAATAAACTATTTAAAGACCATGAAATACCAAAACAAAAAATAGATTATTTAAAAGACTAGAAAACACTATTTAGACGGACAAATATAGGTTTACGTATAGATTTAGTTTTAAAAGATTTAAAGTTTTACTTTTTCTTCTGTCTTTTTTTTTTTCATTGGTTGAAACACATTCTTTATCCCAAATATTCATCATGCATCCATTTGGAACTATTACTGATTTTGACTCTAAGGGTTTTACCAAGGGCGGATTCATGATTTTCGAAAGGGGGCGTAATTTCATAAAAGTGCTCTAAACCGCCGAACATAACAGTTTTGGACGATTTTATGCTAAAAAAAAATATAAATCGTGAGAAACAGGAGAATTTTTTTTTTTGGCGATCAAAGGGGGAACGTTCGCCCTCTACGCCCCTTTGATCCGCCACTGTATACCCAAATGTACAGATCACCTAGCCTTTATTTTGCATAAGTTCTTGGAATTTCAATACCTTCCTAATGGAAATTTGTCCCTTAGAGTTTCAACTGCCTATTAGTAAACTGACATGAAATATTATTATGGCAAATTTCTGTAAATACACTATTCAGAAAATCTTAAAAACATACAAAACCGATATATGTCTACCCTATAGAATTGATAATCTTAGCAAGACTTGGCACACACGTTTTGGAATTATCTGGTTTTCTAAGCTCACCAAGATCATGTTCAATTATTACGAGCATCACTGAACAGTGTAGCCGAAAACCACGTCTGGTGTATCTAAAATATCGGCCTGGTTTATATTATGTCTTTTCATGACCACTTGGTCAATACCACTGCTGGTGGACGTTTCGTTCTTTATGGTATCACCATCTAAGCAGTCAGTATTTCAAACCCAAGGTACGAACAGATGACCCTTTGGCAGACATTGGCAATCATACCACTTCTTCTTATTTTTATATTTATATGTATAACTGTTTTGCAATTTTCTCTGAAATAAAATTGAGAATGGAAATGGGGAATATGTCAAAGAGACAACAACCCGACCAAAGAGCAGACAACAGCCGAAGGCCACCAATGGGTCTTCAGCGCAGCGAGAAAATCCCGCACCTGGAGGTGGTCCTCAGCTGACCCCTAAATAAAATTGTGTACTAGTTCAGTGAAAATGGACGTCACACTAAACTCCAAAACATATAAATGAACTAAAATTAAAAAAAAAACATACAAGACTAACAAAGGCCAGAGGCTCTTGACTTGGAACAGGCGCAAAAATGCGGCGGGGTTAAACATGTTTTGTGAGATCTCAACCCTCCCCATATACCTCTAGCCAATGTAGAATAAAGAAACACATAGCAATACGCACAGTAAAACTCAGTTCAAAAGAAGTCCGAGTCCGATGTCAGAATAGGTAACAAAATAAACTAAGCAAAATGACAATGATACATAAATGAACATAGGACTACTAGCAGTTACTGACATGCCAGCTCCAGACCTCAATTAAACTGATTGAAAGATTATGTCTAATCATACGAAAATCAAGTACAATCCCTCCCGTAAGGGGTTGAGTATCATACCATCATAAAATATATGAGAAGAACATAACCCGTATCATGCCAATAACTGGTTTTAGAATACATGTGTTTATTTCCGATGGTGTTTATCTCTGAAAGCCTGTTTGATTTTTATGTTATCAAATATTTCATATTTTTACACTTTTTTAAGTTTTGGTCACGAACGTTTCAGGAAAGCAAGTTGTAGGTTCGAAAATATTTTCATTTGTTTTACAACTACTTACGCTGCTGTTGGACTATCAGACCTCGAAAATATCAACTGTCCAGTACGTAGTGCGTTGGTTTTAGTAAACTCTGGAGTCACTATTTCATTACACGAACTACAGTACTAGTACAATAAGCAAAAAAATATCAAATGTCGAACAAAATTGCATTTTTTTTTTAAACTTTGAAATACAATATATCGATACTATTTTGTTGGACCATGATTTATTACGATAATACAATTATTTTGTACATATTTCTAAAACAGAAAGTCCATCCCTTTGAAAATTCATTTGATATTTGACAAGACTAAGGCAACTCAAAAGGGATAATTACTATCGTTCCATAAATAATAAAGATATACTAGTATGGAACAGGTTGAGATGATTGAGCTTGACATCCTCTATAGACATCCTTCCGAGGCTAAGGAGTGAAAATTTCTTACATATGATATTTATAAATTTTTCGTATGTGTTACACATGAAAGACAAATGTTGAAAACATAAGTCTTCCATCTGTTTGAAATTATGCATTTTTTCATGTGTAGATTATTTTGATAATGCTTGAGCATTCAATGTTGTATTTCGTTATTGTTTTTATCTATTTTTAATTTTCCTTCAGTTGTCTTTGAAACTCATGTTTTAATTTCAAACTTCCCTATATAAGGTCAAGTTTAAGAATTAGAGAGAAGGTACATAGCAGGCAAGTCCAAAAAAAACATAGAATACCATGGCCCAAAATTAAAACCTAGAATACCATGGCCAAAAATAAAAACATAGAATACCACGGCCAAAAATAAAAGCATAAAATACCATGGCCAAAAATAAAAACATAGAATACCACGGCCAAAAATAAAAACATAGAATACCACGGCCAAAAATAAAAACATAGAATACCATGGCCAAAAATAAAAACATAGAATACCATGGCCAAAAATAAAAACGACGAAAGGACAAACAATAAAGCAAAACGTCATATAGAAAACCAAAGACTAATCAACATGAACCAAACCAAACCGGGGCTCAGTTTATGAACTTTGGAATGGTTAGTAGTTCACTCTCTACATCCAGTAAAAGTCGCTTACGGAAATGTCTCAAACAAGAAAAAGAGGACGGAGATTGTGGTTACGACAAGTGAAACAAATCCGTAGTCGTATGTGACACAGATATTCCAAAGCAGTAAACAATAATGATGGCGTCCGTAAAACTTTCCAAGGAATGTCTTCAATTTTACTGTTTTTAAGGTTAGATAATTGACATGTACGGATGGTTTATGAATTTGGTGATGTATTAAAATCAGAAAAGAGACATTTACCAATCAACTAGTGTATGATGCCTAATTACCATAAATAACTTTCCAATGCCTTTTAACTGGAGAAACACAACAATTATCGCTAGTTGAGCAAAATTTGCTTATTTTTCCAGAGCATATACGTTTACTTCCGGTGTTTGGTGTGATTCATGTTGCTCAATATTTAGTTTTCTGTGTAGTGTTTTCTATGCTGTTATTTGACGATTCGTCTTTTTTTCTTTTGGTCATTGTGTTGTCGGTTTGTCTTCAACTTATGATTTTGGAATGCCCACATGATATCTTCTAATATTTAAATCAGAAAACTTTTTTTATTTGATACATTGTTGCCTTCATTTTCATAATACCTGAAATTGAGAAATTATTGTGATGTTTTCATCAATGCGAATATTTCGACTAAAAGAGTATGGTTACTATAAGAACTCGAATTATGACATTTATCTGTATGCAGATTTTCCTGAAATAGCAATAATTAATCTCACATGTTTGTCCATTCGTCAAAAATCGTAATTATAAAAGTGCGCAATAGTTAAACTTTCATTATTTACAACACACTTGTCGCTGAACGTTAATCTGAATACAAATGCGTCCGAGGACATGGAAATCGTGCCTCTGATTCAAGGACCGACTTTGGCTTTACTTTATGTCCATTTTGATCCGTAGGCCCATTTTTTAAGCTTTGAATTTCACATATCTTGACCTCGAGCATCATTTAAGAGAAATGGATTGCCAAAATGCGCATCTGATGCAAATTAATATCGTTAATGTTCTTGTAGCAATCTTACTTATTTTGTAGTGCTCAGGTAGATTACATACTGCAACGTCCTGGGCAGTGTAAATAAAGACGATCACTTACTACAGACAAATTTAGAAAATATATTTTAGAATGTAATGTTTCTTTTTGTAGTTGTATTATGGTTGTAAAAACGTTTAGTATGCAGTACAGAAGTCATAATAGCTTCATACTAAAATCGCTCTACAGTCCTATATACAACTAAACTAATGGAATTCGGTTCTAATAATTATAGGCTAATGCTAAAACATGCAAGAAACTTTTGATTGTTTTATTTAAAATACACTACACATTTTTAGAATGTTGTCATGGTTAGGTTTTATTAGTACAGAAAACATTACTTTGATATATGTCATTGTTTATGTCTGAAAGAATCCTGCATTAATGTCTATGCGATGTAATTTTTCATCACTAACTGCGAGATGTCAGCTCTAAAAAAAAACTAAGAATAATTTATAGAAATGCAGTCAAATTTTGTATATGAACTTTTTGAAAGCTAAAAAAACATTTAGACATTACCAATTTCAATAAAGTTATAAAGTTTTTACAGTGGAACAAATCTAACCACTTTTATTTGTTTACGTTGATTCAAATAATTCAAATAAGTGAACTGTACATGAGATAAGTTTATGTGCTTTGAACAAGAATTTTTTATCGAATTAATACAATTGTAAATGCGTCGCTATTCTTACACCAGACAACACTATGCTAATGTAGGACAAGGCCTATTGCTGATGAAATTGTTCATCCATTATAGCATTAAATAGCTGCCTTCCAGAAATGTACTGTTTTATTGTTTTTTCTAGAAACAACTGATTTTCAATCTGCAGGATTTGATTTTCAGATAATCGTGTGATGTCTCTTGCCTTTGTATCATGAATGAAAAATCTTTAAAACTCCTCAATTGGTCTTCCAAGCGAAAACTTTCTGCTCCCGTTTTAAACAGCATTGTTTTACACCTTTGTATACCGGAAGTGTATTTGAAACATAATGAACATGATTGTGTTGTTCCATTTTTAATTTCTGTTTCTACAACCTATGAAAGTTTGATTTTTTTGTCACATGACTGTGTCAGTGTAAACGAATTGTTCTGTGTATCATACATAACAAAATTATAGGACATGGAAGGTTTCCATGACAATTTATTCAAATTTGAAGTGTTACTGTTCATTGTAAACTCTGCGGTATAAATTGTGTTGTTGCATGAATTGTCAATTATCAACTGAAGAATGAACCGAGCAGATAAAAGTAGTGTACAACAAATAAACAGGACTAAAAATCCTCCACAAAAATATTTTAAATTCCCACCATTCCCCATTGCTTGTAGATTCAGATTCAATATTTTATTAAATCTCGTATTAGATTTGTTTAAAAATTCGTCTGTTAGACTGCATCATCTGCAAAAAAAGACAATTTTAGAATTAAGTATATTAAATGAACAATGTCTGATTAATAAACCGAGTGATGTTCATGTTTAACTCTACAGAATATGCAAATATTTCATTATCAACTCCTTGATTAGAAATGTAATTATAATGCAATTTCAGAGGACATACAGATAATTGAATTATCAGATACAGTACTATCTAATATGAAAATAAGAAAGTGTGGAATGATTGCCACTTAGACAACTATCCACTAGTCGATTACAATTTGAAGGCATGTTATTCATTGCTTTACACCACCTGTTTTTGTTGTGGATAATGATTTTGTCTGCGCATGGTGTTTTATTAGAAGTGTTGTTTTTTTTTTAAGTGCTTTTTTGAAGGGAGTGTTTTAATGCAACTAAATATATGATTGGCCGTCAGTATGTTTTACTTTTGCAACAAATAAAAACACAGGTTGGTTCCAATAAACAAATTATATGCAAATAAGTAGAAATTATTCCAGTCATAAAAGAGAGACGAAAGATGCAAACTGGATATTCAAACTCATATGTCGAAAAACAGCCTGACAATGCCATGTCAAAAAACGACAAACGATCAAAAGACAAACAATAGTATACAAAACACATCATAGAAAACTAAAGACTGAGCATAGTTAAACCCACTAAAACATGGTGCGATATCAGGCGCTCCAGAAGGGTAAGCAGATCCTGATTACTTTTTAAAGACAACATATAAATGGTTGAAGTTGTTTTCATAGTAATCCAACAAACAATCTACCTTGCAATTGGTATATGCTGTGCTGTTCGACGTGCTATCACTGTTATGAACCGACATTTTTACTAAATATTCTTGAAAACAAGACAAAAAACAGAATGTATGCCAAATCATCTGAAAACACACACAGAAAACACCTCTAGTAAAGCCTTAGCATTTTGTATATCTAAGGAAGGTTCTTTAGAAACATACATGTCTGCGACAAGTGTGGTAATTGATAGTTCTTATTATCTTTTATTCTTTTATATACATGTCTGCAACAAGTGTGGTATTTGAGAGTTCTTATTTTATCTTTTATTCTTTTATATACATGCATGTGTGATTATATACCATATAACTCAAATTTGTCGCAATTCTGTGAATACGCTATCATTGTATGTTGCATTTATGGAGATTTAATAACGGAAGTATACCCTAAACTCTTGATATAATCACCGTGAATCACTGTGTGGATTATAAGACCGGAAAAGGTACGAGGGGTTGATTAATAAAAAAACACTGTACAAAAAGTATAAATCGAAGACAATATCAGGAGTAAAATGAAAAATTTTGAAAAGACAAACAACAATCCACAAAACACTACATTGATCTCAGATGTACACCACCAAATATCCTACATTGATCTCAGATGTACTTCACCAAATATCCTACATTGATCTCAGATGTACACCACCAAATATCCTACATTGATCTCAGATGTACATCACCAAATATCCTACATTGATCTCAGATGTACATCACCAAATATCCTACATTGATCTCAGATGTACACCACCAAATATCCTACATTGATCTCAGATGTACACCACCAAATATCCTACATTGATCTCAGATGTACACCACCAAATATCCTACATTGATCTCATTATCAAATATCCTACATTGATCTCAGATGTACACCACCAAATATCCTACATTGATCTCAGATGTACACCACCAAATATCCTACATTGATCTCAGATGTACACCACCAAATATCCTACATTGATCTCATTATCAAATATCCTACATTGATCTCAGATGTACACCACCAAATATCCTACATTGATCTCAGATGTACATCGCCAAATATCCTACATTGATCTCAGATGTACATCACCAAATATCCTACATTGATCTTAGATGTACACCACCAAATATCCTACATTGATCTCAGATGTACATCACAAAATATCAGGGTTGGTCGGCTTATGCCCCTTTCAGCAAAACAAAACAAAAAGTCTTCAAACACTTAGCTTATTTAAAGAAGTATATAAAAGTGAGTTGCTTCCTTAAGTTTCATTAAAATAAAGAGAAAGTTAAAACCGGTTATATTCCATAGATATATTTCTTACGTCTTACAAACAGCGGTGAATTATTATTTATTTCCATATTGCAGGCGTTTTTCATCAATTATTGATCTCTTCATTGTTCATAGAAATATGAGTGTTATGCTGTTGTTTACGTATATCTATACTATGCATTCATTATTATTTATAGGATACCAACTTTCGTGGATTGTGTGGGAACAGGTGAACCACGAATCTAAATGTTCAATGAATTACAATTTCCCTATAGGCTTGTATGCAGACTTTTGGAATACCATGGAATCAAATATCCACGACAATGACAGTTTACTTCAATCCACAAAAATTGGTACTCGCGAATATAAATGAATCCAAAGGATTTTGATTCAAAGTTATCAAAAAATTGGAAACAACACGTTTAATAATTCCATGCGTCCGAAGCGCTTTTCTGGATTTACCTTCATCAGGAACGCTTAATGCCAAACATTTGAAAACCGAGGGATGTATAAGTACCGAAACAGTTGAAGAGCTATATGACAAAAATCAAATTAACTTACCTTATTTGCAAGTAGGATTGCTTATTGAAAGCATGAAGACTGAACCGTTTCATTTATGTCATTTCTTTTCTAATTTTAAACTAAACGTAACTTGTCGCAAATAAATATGTGTGTGATTATGTTTTATTTATATTATTGGAAATTTTCTATATATTCAATTCAATTTTGTATTGGCAATAAACACCAGATTTGTAACAAGAAATCAAATATGAACAGCACAATCAATTAAAAAACACTTACCACGTATATTAGTAATTAAACTGAAAGCTTTAATTCAATATTACTAAAGTTCGTCTCCATAGACTTATTTCACACATTACACATGTTTTCGGTCACCATCATGAACAAAGCAATATCTTTTTATGATTGACATATTTTTTACACTTTTTGTATCTTACATATCCATCAATGGTGGATCCTCTGCATTATTCATTGTATTGTTTTGATACATTGTAATGAATTAAAAATTAACAAGTTGAGCGAATTTTCAAGTAAAATTACTTATAGAAAGCTCGGAGAACTAAAATCGTTCGGTCATGTCATATAACCTTTAATTTTTTTCTTTTTAATAAATGTAACTGTCCATGCATACAATTTATTTTTGACTGTGTGACTGAGTTTTATTTTTGTAGCATGTTTAAATATACTGCTTAGTTAACTCCACTGGAAATTTTCAATAGAAAATATATTTAATTTCAGAAGAACCATAGGTAAACATTGTAAAATGTAGTGCAGATTTTTTTAACAAAATAATTTGTATGGATAATAGTCACGACTAGATTTTTTTAAATAGGTATATGTTAGATCTGCAAATTTGCGTCAGATAAACTTTGGTACTTCCCTCAGCGGGAGCATATATGTATATATACTAGGCTGATATTACACGGCGATAATAGCTTACAAAAACCACTTTGTTGTTAAAACGCATGTTCTTATTTCAAACGATTGGCTTTTATTACAAGAACGACAATTTTATTCACTACGTTGTACACAGAAAGTTATAAAAGTATAAAATATAAAATGATTGAACTTCCCTTTGTGGCGATAGTAAAACCGCGATCTATATATATTCCGTACTCAACTACCACTGTGTACATATCATATGTTCGTATAGCTGCACCAAACTACCATCTGCAAGCTAGATCGACCAGGTTGAAGGGCGGAAAATTTAGACTGACACTTTATGGAAAATGAGTGTATGCTGGTTATTGATGGCAATTTAAACTGAAAACAGGCGATCCACTGACCTCTAAGAGAGTCGTTGCAAGGGGTTTGCTTAATGAGCAGAGAGTGTGGTACTTTCCCTACATGATGATCTAAACGGGAGTGTCTTCTTTTCTTTATCCTTTACTAGGTAAAGTCATTTTTCTGTTTTAAAAAAAATATTTCTACTTTAGCACTTTTTTTGTTGTTGTTTTGTTGTTGTTAATATGTTTGTTTGTTTGGGTTTTTTTTATTATTGGGGGGTGGGGGGTATTGTATCTACTAATTTCTATTGTACCATTATTCTTTATTTTGTTAACCCCATACATACTCTTCTGCATGTGGCGTCATATGAAACGCCCGCATTCCGACCGGTAGGTGGGTGTGTATTTATTCATCTACCACCCACAAACATTTAAGAAAAGGTTTTACGACAGAGGATAGGAATGACTATATTTCTATATCATGCCCAACCCTTAAGTTACATACAGATAGATCAAACATTATTGGCATTATACTATGTGGTAACATATATGATTGTATTGCTGTAATTGATCTTGAAACTTGCTGGATAGTATTCAGCAACAAAGGACACTGTTTATTGAAAAGAAACTCCGAAACAAAGTGATAAATAAACTCAGCATAGATACCATTATTGAAATTTTGTATTTGCGCCTGAGGCGCGTTTTGTCTACAAAAGACTCATCAGTGACGCTCGAATCAAAAAGAGTTAAAAAGGTCAAATAAAGTACGAAGTTGAAGAGCATTGAGGACCAAAAAATCCTAAAAGTTTTGCCAAATACAAGTGTTCCAACGGGTATAGAACTTTAATCTCCGAGTCGATGATCATTCTAACGGCGTTGTAATCGACGCATTAGCACTGACAGTATTTATATTTATTCCGTTCAAGGACTAAGACAAATAATGTTTGTTTTTAGCCAAGGATAGTCTGGATTCTCAATTAAACGACCTATAAATACAGGTTAAAACGAACGGGTTTTATCAAAACAAAAAAGCTAAAAGTCAAGCTTCACGAATTGATACATGTGCTAAAATATCAATTTCAATCCATTTCTCCATGGCTTGAAAAAAAATTATATTTGCCGTAAAAAACAAAACCTTTTTTTTCAGTGAAGATATAGGGAAACATCGAGTAATCAAATGTAAAAATAAGGAGATGTGGTATGATTGCGAATGTGATAACTATTCAGAAAGATCCAAATGTGAAAAATCACAGGTTAGTTCGAGATTGTACTGATGTCTGACGGCATTTATTGAGATTTTAAGGTGGCCCCATCAATTCGAAAGAGATAAAAGAGGGACGAAAGATACCAGAGGGACAGTCAAACTCATAGATCGAAAAAAAAAACGACAACGCCATGGCCAAAAATAAAAAGACAAACAGACAAACAATAGTACAGATGACACAACATAGAAACCCAAAGACTAAGCAACACGAACCCCACCAAAAACTGGGGGTGATCTCAGGTGCTCCGGAAGGGTAAGCAGATCCTGCTCCACATGTGGATAAACGACAGTTTGGTGTATACAACAAAAAAGAACGAAAAACAAACAACCACTACAGTGTCTTGTCTTGGAACATATCTTTAGAAAAACAAACAACCACTACAGTGTCTTGTCTTGGAACATATCTTTAGAAAAACAAACAACCACTACAGTGTCTTGTCTTGGGACATATCTTTAGAAAAACAAACAACCACTACAGTTTCTTGTCTTGGGACATATCTTTAGAAAAACAAACAACCACTACAGTGTCTTGTCTTGGGACATATCTTTAGAAAAACAAACAACCACTACAGTGTCTTGTCTTGGGACATATCTTTAGAAAAACAAACAACCACTACAGTTTCTTGTCTTGGGACATATCTTTAGAAAAACAAACAACCACTACAGTTTCTTGTCTTGGGACATATCTTTAGAAAAACAAACAACCACTACAGTGTCTTGTCTTGGGACATATCTTTAGAAAAACAAACAACCACTACAGTGTCTTGTCTTGGGACATATCTTTAGAAAAACAAACAACCACTACAGTGTCTTGTCTTGGGACATATCTTTAGAAAAACAATTATGGCGTTTTGATATCGTTGAATACTTCTTCATGATTCAATCTTCTAATTAAGAATGCTTCATAAAAATGCAGTCAATTGTTTTAAAGACAAACATCAAACATTTATACATTACCAATTTTATTAAGGTTACCATTAGGTCTTTTATAGTGGAAAGAATATAATTACTTTTATTTGTTTATTTTGATTCAAATAACTGAACGATAAATGCGATAAGTTTATGTTCTTTGAACAAAAAAAAAACTTTCAATTGAATACAATAGCAAATGCATCGCTATTCTTACACCAAACAACAGTATACTAATGTATGGCGAGGCCTTTTGTTAATGAACTCGTTGTAGACAATTAAATAGCTGCCTTCGAGTAATGTACTAGTTTATTGTTTTTCTAGAAACAACTGATCATCAAACTGCAGGATTTGATTTTCAGATAATCGTGTGATGTCTCTTGTCTTTGTATCATGAATGAAAAATCTTTAAAACTCCTCAATTGGTCTTCTAAGCGAAAACTTTCTGCTCCTATTTTAAACAGCATTGTTTTACACCTTTGTATACCGGAAGTGTATTTGAAACATAATGAACATGATTGTGTTGTTCCATTTTTCATTTCTGTTTCTACAACCAATGAAAGTTTGATTTTTTTGTCACATGACTGTGTCAGTGTAAACGAATTGTTCTGTGTATCATACATAACAAAATTATAGGACATGGAAGGTTTCCATGACAATTTATTCAAATTTGAAGTGTTACTGTTCATTGTAAATTCTGCGGTATATATTTTGTTGTTGTATGAATTGTCTATTATCAACTGAAGAATGAACCGAGCAGATAACAGTAGTGTACAACAAATAAACAGGGCTATAAATCCTCCACAAAAATATTTTAAATCCCGACCTTTCCCCATTGTTTGTAGATTCAGATTCAATATTTTATCAAATCTCGTATTGAATTTGTTTACAAATTCGTCTGTTAGACTTCATCATCTGCAAAAAAAAGACAATTTTAGAATTAAGTATAATAAATACACAATGTCTTTTTAATAAACCGAGTGATGTTCATGTTTTACTCTACAGAATATGCAAATATTTCATTATCAACTCCTTGATTAGAAATGTAATTATAATGAAATTTCAGAGGACATACAGATAATTGAATTATCATACACTGTACTATCTAATATCAAAAATAAGGAAGTGTGGTATGAACTATCCACCGAAGTTCAAATTAAGTAGATGTAAGCAATTATAGGCAACCTTACTTTTGCTTACATCCACTTTATTTGAACTTTGGTGGATAGTTGTCTCATTGGCAATCATACCTCATCTCGTTATTTTATATTACTTACATGTTTTATTCCATTGAATCTAGTCGATTACAATTTGAGGCATGTTATTCATTGCTGTACATCACCGGTTTTTGTTGTGGATAATGATTTTGTCTGCGCATGGTGTTTTTTTAGAAGTGTTGTTTTTCTTTTTGAGGTGCTCTTTTTTTAAGGGAGTGTTTTTCTGCAAGTAATTTATTTGATTGGCCGTAAGTATGTTTTACTTTTGCAACAAAAAACCACAGGCTGGTTCCAATAAAATATATGCAATTAAGTAGAAAGTATTCCAGTCATAAAAGAGAGACGAAAGATGCAAAATGGATATTCAAACTCATATGTCGAAAAACAGCCTGACAATGCCATGTCAAAAAACGACAAACGATCAAAAGTCAAACAATAGTATACAAAACACATCATAGAAAACTAAAGACTGAGCATAGTTAAACCCACTA